TAAATATATTAAAACCAACCGACCAAACAAAAAAAATCCAGCAGCCTGGCCCCTAGATCCCTGCAACCCTCGGCACCGGGCCTGGCCCTGGGTGAGGGCCTCCCTGGGCGATGGGGAGGACTGGCATGGCGCTGCCCGGCCTCAGCACCAGCTGTGTTTTGCAGTGTTCCCGCCCAGCTGTGGCCACGGCACGCAGAAGCGCACCGTGACCTGCACCAACTCCCCAAGGGAAGTGCGACGCGTCCACCCGGCCCCGCGCGGAGGAGGCGTGCGAGGACTACTCCGGCTGCTACGCCTGGAGGACCGGGGACTGGTCCAAGGTGAGCCCGGCGCCCGCACTCCCGGCCGCCCGGCTGGCGACACCCAGGTAGGCCCTGTGTGACCAGGCAAACACACTTTCTTTCCAAACGCTGCACCCGCCGGTGACCCCACGCCGGGCGCCATTTGAAAGAGAAAGTCCCTTTTCCACCTGGAGCCCGTGGTTCTCGATAATCCTGCCACACAACTCTCACCAGTGTTTTTATTTATTTACTTATGTGTTTATTTTTTTATCGATTTCAGAGAGAGGAAGGGAGAGGGAGAGGGAGATAGAAACATCCATGATGAGAGAGAATCATGGATCGGCTGCCTCCTGCACGCCCCACACTGGGATCGAGCCTGCAACCACAGGCATGTGCCTGACGGGGAATCGAACCGTGACCTCCTGGTTCATAGGTCAATGCTCAACCACTGAGCCACACCGCCCGGGCACTGGTTGTTTTCTGATCAGAACTCATACTGGTGGCAACTCGCCTCTGTGTCGCTGGGAGGGCCCCATGGTGCCTGACGGGTCGCTGAGGACATAGAGGGGGCCTGTCCGACAGGCACAGTGACATCATCTGGAGGCCGATGTGCAGGTGTGGGTGGGAACCAAGCGGCAGAGGCCTCACGCAGTACGGAAGCGCGGGTCCCATGGCCACGGGTGGCCAGCAGGAAGTAGGCTGAGGTGTAGGCAGCTCTGGTCTGGCGGCGCCTGGCTCTGTTCCTCTGCTGTGCCCTGCCCCTCCTGCCCCAGGCCGGCGGGCCCCTGTCCCTGGGGTGGAAGCTCAAGGAGGCTCTTACAGGGGTGCCGGGGATTTGAAACTCCTGGTGGCGAGGTCCGTTACCAAACTAGAGAGACGGGGAGAGCGCCCCCTGCAAGCCCCCATGCTCCTGGCTCCCTGCTCACCAACCAGAATCCAGGGCTCTGGGCAGACCAGCCTGCCCTCTGGGGTCACCCCAGCTCTCTGCTTCCCCAGCCGCCATGTCCCAACCAGAGTCTGCAACTCAGAGAGACCGGGGCTGGGGAGATGGATGTGGACGGCCCTGTGTAGTTTGTAGGTGGGTGTGTGTGTGGGGGGGTAGGTTTGTGTGTGTGTGTGTGTGAATGCGTGTAGGTGTAGGAGTAGAAAGGGAGTTTTTTGGGTGTCTGCGTATGTAGTGTATGTGTGTGAGGGAGTGTGGGGGCCTTTGTGTGTGTGTGTGTGTATGTGTGTAGGTGTGTGTGTTGGGGGTCTGTGTGTGTGTGTAGGTGTGTGTGTGTGTGTGTAGGTGTGTGTGTGTGTGTGTAGGTGTGTGGGGGTGTGTGTTGGGGGTGTGGGGGGCTGTGTGGGGGGGGTCTAAGATAGCATCTGCTGTCTCGGGCTGGAGCCGGGACAGGGGATTTTCGTTCTTGCTTAAACCTGCTGGCTCAGGTTCCAACAGCTTCCGAGGCTTGTGGCGCTCATGCCAAGTCGGGGGGAATCTGTCACACATGCTTTTGACATTTTCCCAGGCAAGTGCCTTCCAGGCACAAACAGAAGAAGGAGTTACTGTAGGGTATTCTCTCCCCCATCTCTCTCTCTCTCTCTCTCTCTTCCTCTCTCCCCCTCCCTCCTTCCCTCTCCCCACCTCCCTTCCTTTCTCTCTCTCTCATTCTTTGTTACCCAAACCTGCCCCAGGCAGACTGGCCCCTCAGAGAATGGCCCAGCGACCACATGGGGGTGACGCTGGGCAGTGCGGGTCCGTCTCGCATCCTGTCAGCCTCACCTAGTCCCCTGCTCCCCCAGAGCCCGGAACCCAGGCTCACGCACGCACAGCTGTAACGTTCCTGCAGCGAGTCCCTCTTCCGAGACTTTTACAACCTCCTTTCGCTAATTCTCAAAACATCCCTCTGGGATCTGGAGTTCTTTATAGTCGTGACTTTACAGGCGGGAGAGACGGGAGGAGAAGCCATGTCTCGCCCTAGTGGAGCCTGTCGTTAGGGTCTGGCCTCCGTGTGATGACAGAGACCTGGTCCCTCCCAGCTGGGGGGGAGGGGGGTGTGTGGCTGGGAGAAGTGGGGGCCTCAGGGAGGGCAGGCCCGGGTGGGAGGCCCCATCAAGCAGTCCCTGAGCCTCACATTCCTCCCCTCGGGGCACCATTCATGCATTTGGTGCGTTTATTGTGCACCTACTATGCTCGCAGCCCTGCATGCCACAGTGGCTGTTCGTGTAAGGATTAGAGAGGACTGAGGCCTGGTCCTAGCTCACAGTAGGCGGGCAGAAGTTGGGCCCTGTAGCTATTATCATTATTTTTCCCCCAAAAAATATTCTCTTATCAATTTCAGAGAGGGGAATGGAGAGGGAGAGAGAGAAAAACATCAATGATGAGAGAGAATCATGAGTCGGCTGCCTCCTGAACGCCCCCTGCTGGGGATCGAGCCAGCAACCCCAGGCATGTGCGCTGACCAGGAATCGTACCATGACCTCCTGGTTCATAGATCGATGGTCAACCACTGAACCACGCTGGCAAGGGCAACAGTTATTTTATTTCAATGCTAGAGGCCCGGTGCACGAAATTTGTGCACTGGTAGGGTCCCTAGGCATGGCCAGCGATCAGGGCAGATTGGAGCCTTCCCTCCGGCTGCTGGCCAGGGCCTGCCTTCCTTCTATGCTGCCACCTGGTAGTCAGCACATGTCGAACCCCTGAGGGGACACTGCATATTAGCCTTTCATATATAGGTTGCTTTTCCTATGGAGCTCACACCCCAAATGTCTTTGGCGCCCCCTCCTGGCTGGGGGAGGGCCCCTGGGAGGGGTGGCAGGTCACCAGGCCCTGTGTGCTGGGAGGGAGCATGAGGGGCTGGCACAGCCTCCAAGCCCCAGGCAAGGAGCTGTTGGGTGGATTTAGGGCCTCTCCCTTGCCGCTCAGTTTCCGGTGTCTGGGGAGCCCCATGAAATGTTCGTGTAACGAGCGACTTGAGAAAACCACCCAGCAGGGAAGGAGGGCTTCAGACAAGACCAGATCCGTTCCTTTGTCTTTTATAGATCCGTTTGCTTGCGTTTTAAAAGCCTGAAAAATGGCTTCCCTCCTGTGCTAGAAAGTAATCCGGTGGAAAAAGGGGGCACGGGTGGGCGACACCTCGCTGTTCAAATAAAAACGAAACCGAGGGAGAGCATGTGAAAGGCCT